AATAGCCAAGTCAGAGGAATGAGAAGGGGAGCAGAAAATAGAATCTACACTCCATACTCAAAAACAGCTGTTTCAAATGTATCAGAGAGCTGAAGAGCAGGGGTGAGAAAAGTGTAATCTTATAGGATACCCAGTAAGGCCCAATAAGGTGATGACCCAGAGTATATATTTTCTGCTTCCCAAAATGCAAGTTGCACCCCTCCAAATGCATCTGAGGGGGTGTAATGCTGTGGAAATGCAGTTCCATCTCCCATCCCCAGTTATTTCTAATTTCTTTTTAAAAAAGAAAAGAAAAGAAAAGAAAAAGAGCCTTGTAAGGGCTAAGGCAGCCAGTGTGGAATATAGGGTTTACATTGCAAATTGCAGTACCAGATGCATCCAGGTTACACTTTGTGGGCAAAATAAAATAAAATTGGAGGCAGAGAATGTCTGCAGCCACCCAAGATAGAGTGAAGGACAAAAATATCCTCTGGAACCTCAGAAGTTGCTCACCCCTCACTTAGGCCACAAGCCTTTTATCCTCACTCCACTGCCAAACAGGACTGCAGTGGTTAAATAAGGAGGGCTGGCTAAGGAGGAAAGATTCTGTGTACATGAAGCCCCACAGATGCCATCCCTTGGCATTAAGGCCTGGGTGGAATGACCCTTTCCCATCCCTCAGGGCACAGGCCATGTTCAGTTGACTGCCAGCATCTCATATGATTCAGGATGTCTAATGTCCTTTTCCAACTACACCATTTTTTTCGTTGCCCATTTTTCCTGCCCATGTTTCTCCATGTACTTCTGTACTGGTCATCTGCATGCCCCCCTGTACCCACAATGGCTGTGGGAATTCTCAGACTTTTAGTTAAAAAGACCACCTTTTCAAAACTACGGCTCGAAGAGCCACCTTGGCTCTCCTGTTCTCAGCCACTCTCCCACACATTTGGCATTTCTGATGCTCAAAGTGAGAGAAAGTCAGTAGTCATGAAACAATATCTCCTGCTCCTATTAGAAGTTACCATGGAACATGGCTGCCCCAGGGCACTTTGCTAACTAAAACAAAGGAGAAAATGTCTTCTCCCTCATTTTATTTCTTGTAGAGAATCTGTACAGACTGCCAAATGCGTCTTATTTCCTTACTGGCAACAGGACATCATCCTCCACTATACCTGAGAGATGCTGTCTAACTTAAATCACACATAGCTTTGTCCTTCTAATCTCTAGCATCTATTACTCAAGACAGATGCCTCATTCTACTTAATGGTAGGGTTGGTCATTAAAACTTTAACATTTATCTTGAGCAGCTTTTTAGGCAGCTGCAAAGTCCAGTCTCTCTCTCTCTCTCTCTCTCTCTCCCTCCCTCCCCCACCCCAGAATGCATCTGGGCCCCACATAAATACCACAATAGGAGATACATGTGGGAGTGGGGAGCACATGTGTAAAATAAGATGCATTGTTGCAGAGCGAAGGGAGTCCTGAAAGAAAAAAAAGAAAGAATGTGGGGTTCTTGTGTCTGATTTGAGCATGATCTTCTTATTGGAAAAATAAAATTGTTGAAATAAATTAATTTAGAGATCTGAAGAACTGTTGGCGCAGAAAACCCTGAGGTACAAAGTAGGGGGTTTGCGCTCTGGGACTGATATTCATGCTCTAGCATTTATCTTTTTGAGAAAGCTACTTATCTCTAAACCACATTGTTTTGCTCTTCTTTGAAATTGCTGATGTGTGACTTCTTGTACCCACCACATTTTGTGAATAAGCAGCTCCTCATTACAGTGGTTTGGTGAGCATCCCAATGACACTTTCTGAAAAATTCAGATGTTCCTATTCAGTCCTCCTCTTTCACCATTAGTTAAGCCCTGCTGAGACATGACCTCCTGTTTTGCTTCCCTGCATGCGGCACACAGTTTTTGTATCTCCCTTGTTTTGGTAAAGTTGAGGTTCCTGCTGCATTTTGGCATCTAGCAACAGAGCACCTGTAATAGTCCTGAGAACAGAAAAGTCAGCAACATGCTCCAACAGGATTCTTTCCAAATGAAGGAAGAAAGACAAATAGTTCTTGGAGTGATCAAAATGCGTCTGTGCCTACACCTCTTTCAAACTGGCACACTTTAAACAAATGAATATCCATATTAGTTTTGCTGCTGCAAGAATTAGAGCTGTATGTCATTATTAAAATGAATAATTCTATCACAACGTGAGTTTGGGGGACTATAGCTTAGAAAAAGCAACAACGTAATAAAGAGATATTGTGTGATATTTATATATTAGGGTGCCTTCTACAAAAGAAAAGGCACATGGATGAAGGAAAACAGCATACAGTACACATACCTAACAGCCTTTCTTCTTGAATTGCAAATGCTTATAATAATGAATCGCACCAATTTCTGAACATAGGAAGCTGTCTTATCCCAGCTCAGGTCATTGGTCCACTTAGCCCACTACTTTCAATTCTGACTGACAATAGCTCTGTAGGTTTTCAGGGAAGATTCTTTCTTATCCCTACTAAGGCATCATTTGTGCTCCCTTATCTTCACCCATACAAGTTCTTATGGGGCCCAATGCTGCTTAACTTCCAGAATCAGTTGAGACTGTAGTGTTCATGGAGATCTATGTCTGCTGCTTCATTGTCCACTTTCTTCATAAATACCCTTCACATGCAACACCTAATGAGGCCACCACTTCATATTCTTCTTAACAAATGTGTATGTAATCTGCATTTGTGGAATACTTGGTCTCTTAAACTAATTATGGTACCATAAGACTATTTGTGAGAGCTTGGAGTGTCTCTGCACAATTGTTCTAAAAACTGTTGTGATGGATACTCAGCATCCCCATGCCAGAGAGTCTATTCTTTGAATCATGAGTTTCCTTGTGGGGCTTTATCTGTGATTGTTCCTCTGCTGTGATTCGCTGCAGAAATACAAGGAATAAAACCAGTTCCTGGTCCCCAACAGAGTAGACCTATTGTATCAATAGCTTCCGTAAGTGAGTCAACACTTATGGAAATCTCACGGATTCAATGGGCTTACTTTAGTAGATAATTCAGGATTTCATTTAGGGACTCAGGAATTTTTCATTTTACTTAATATCATACTAATATGAAATAGATAGTACTGTATG